TCGTATGTACATTTGAGTATGAAAAACCCTGTATAGAGAATTGGAATATTCATGAGATTTTTGTTTAACAATATAAACTTCAACGCGTAAATGTTCATTTCATCAAGTTCTATGTATCATTGCCCAGAATATTTGTCAACAAAATGTATAGATCAATCATGTACTCAACATGAATATCAATACATATGCATGAATATTAGGATATGGAATTAAACAATGAGGCTTTTTTATATTTTATATTTTTTACATACTTTGAGTTTTTTTTGTTAACAACAACATGAAAGTACTAGAATCTATAATTTTTATATTGATTGAATTTTTGATATTTCTTCGAATGCATATCATGTCATAAGGAAATCTGAATACTTGATCGATCCTGAAACCTTCATGACCGTGATATTATCCAATTCTATTTTTTCTATCATATTATCTTATAGTGTATACTTATGCTTGGAAGCACAGTAATATGTATATCTGACTTATGTAATACTCATACAATTGGTAATTATTCCGTTCAAGAAGGTCATGTAGGAATCATTATTAGCATGTACTCAGAAATAATGTTTAACTAATCAGTGAAAATGAGTTCAACATCAGTATTATGGAATATACACTACACAACGACAACAATCAGTAGCTACACGATGGTGCGGTCCTAGAACTAGAGATTATGTTGAAGGTTGAACAATATAACAGAACATAAACTGTGATTCATAGGACCTGACTGGATAAATGGCACTCTAAATGTGTGAAAAAATAAATTAATAAGTTATAAACTACTCACTACTTCTCAATAAATTAGTAAAAGTTACATCACATTTTTTGTTCCTTTAAAAATAATGAGAATTGGAAATCAAACATGACTTTTGTCTATCAATATAAATGAAACTCCCTCAAGTAGGCTATACAGTCCTTTTGAGATGGAATGAACACAATATAATCTGACTAATTCATACTTTGATGTGGGGTGATTCGGAATTCGATGTAAACATTTTGAGGACATATATTGTTGGGATCGAAATAAGACTCTTTATTCATTTAAACAGATGTCCTAGAATGGACCATCCGAGCTACAGCCACTGTTAGTTAGGATATAGTCTCATTTATCACGACAATATACATCCTCAAAATATCAACATCGAAGTTGGAATCACCCTGTATGATGCTGGTTCTCGTATACTTTTATTCTCAAACTGTCGAATCGATGATATGTTGATCCACTACATTAACAATTATTTGTTAGGATTTCCTATGATGATAACCGAAAAGGTATAAACCCAGACAGCACCAGATATTCCATGAATCTCCCTGTCATATTCCTTTTGGAATATTGGAATATTCTAGAAATAATCTGGAATATTCCGGAATATCTGTGGAATATTCTCTAAATATGCGGATGGGAATTGCTCAGATATTCATAGAATATATCCTAAAGAATATTCCATGTTGAATATTCCTGGAATATTCCAATAAACATATTCTAAAATAAAAAAAAGTGACCCTAGTAGGGATCGAACTCGTGACCTCAAGACTATCAGACCAACGCCTTGACCACTAGGCCAGTAATCGAATTGAATGTTGTTGTACATATCAATTTCTTGTTAGAGCGTTGTTCGAAATCGGATCATAAACACTTTTTGTTTCAAAATCCCCTTACATCTAATTTTGATGTTCGATACTCACAACTCTGAAATAATGATGGGTATTTATGTGTTGAGAAACATAGGAATATTCATGGAATATTTCATGAATATACACCACAGAATATTCAGTTGAGAATATTTCATGAATATACCGCACAGAATATTCAGTTGAGAATATTTCATGAATATACCCCACAGAACATTCAGTTGGGAATATTTCATGAATATACAAGAGAGAATATTCATTTGGGAATATTCCTGGAAAATTCATACCTGAATATTCCCTGAACATCACTTTGGAATATTCCTTCTAGATGTTCCAGAGTAGGGGTGGGAAAAATTATCGATATATCGATAATTATCGATAATTATCGATAATTATCGATAATTATCGATAATAATTTGGAGAAAAATTATCGATTTATCGATATTATCGATATTATCGATAAATCGATAATTTTTCTCCAAATTATTTTCGATAATTATCGATAATTATCGATAATTATCGATATATCGATATATCGATAATTTTTCCCACCCCTAGTTCACACTGTAAGTTTGCGTTCTAGCAAATGAAATGCCTACAGTTATAGCAGATACGATCGCACTGACCATATTCCGTATTCTATCATCTCACATGGATACTTTTGGGGCATGGTATTTCGCAACGATCATATGAGACGACATCGAATCGGGTATAATGCACACAACAGGCAGGACAAGAAACTTCGACTTTGACTATGTTTACACTGTAACTTTGCGTTCTAGCATCTGACATGCTCACAGTTATAGCAGATACGCTATCACTGACCATATAAAACGACTTTGAAGGACATTTAACGAGAACAATTGGCAAGTAAAGATCCTCCGACAACATCAGTCTGCACACTATATCTCTGTATCCTATCATCTCACATAGAGACCTCTGGAGCATATATGTTTGCAACGATCATATAAAACAACATCGAAGCGGGTAAAACGCACACAACAGGCAGAACAAGAAACTTCGACTTCGACTATTTTCACACTGTAACTTTGCGTTCTAGCAAATGAAATGCCTACAGTAATAGCAGAAACGATCGCACTGACAATATAATACGACTTAGAAGGACATATAACGAGAACAATAGGCAAGTGGAGATACTTCGAAAACATCAGTCTGCACACTGTATCTTATCGATATTATCGATATTATCGATATTATCGATATTATCGACATTATCGATATTATCGATATTATCGATATTTTCTATATTTTCTATATTTTCGATATTATCGATATTATCTAAATAATCAATAATGTCGATGATATCAAAATTATCGGAATTACCGATATAACCAATGATATAAAAATTATCAAAATGAATGAGCATCAGAAAAATAGGTATTTTTGTTTCTTATATGGAACACCCTGAATAAAACAGATACTTGTTGGTAAGAATTGAAGTAAGAATGGAGAATATGATAAGACACGCCACCCTGTACATCAGCCCTGTTCAAACAACATAGGACTCCAGCACAGCAACTTGCATGAAGCTATCTGACATCTGGCAACGTGGCAACCCTTATTAGTTGTGGTGGCAAACTTATTGGTTAGTTATGTGTTGAACGAGTAACAAGTATCAAGTAAGGTGGGTTATCTAATTATATGGAATATTTTTATTTCATCATTCGATTGCTCATTCCTTGAAAAATAACATAATGACAAAATGGCTTCGTTTATTATACCTACGTAGAAACCAGAAAGTAAATATAAAAAATTAGTTTTATAAAAATACCCTTGTCACGACTAGAAGTGGGAAAAATTATCGATATATCGATAATTATCGATAATAATTTGTAGAAAAATTATCGATAATATCGATAATATCGATAATATCGATAATATCGATAATATCGATAATATCGATAATATCGATAATATCGATAATATCGATAATATCGATAATATCGATAATATCGATAATATCGATAAATCGATAATATCGATAGATTATGATTATCGATAATCGATATTTCAAAATCATTATCGCCCACCCCTATTCCAGAGGCATGTATATATTCTAGGAATAATCGATGAATATTCGGAATATATACTCCTCCTTTTAAGCATATTTAGAGAATATTCTAGGAATATCCAGTGCTGTCTGGGAATGGATGACTCGCGTCAAAATTAACACTTGAATCCCATCTTTGATCTGTTCTTATACAAAGTCATACGTTATTTCATTGAGAAACTGCAAAGTGAAAGTTTCGATGAAATATTAGTTGATGGAATAATGTTGAAAGTTTTGATCATTCAATAGAGTCTGGGGATATACCAAACTCCACAAATCTCGTGAATATCTCAACGTTCGAATAGAAAACTTAATTCATGACAAAGTCCATTATCTATTTCGTTTCCACATATTCCCTCTAGAGGTTCAAATTCTTGAGATGTGTCATACAACGATCATGGAGTTGTAACATATTATCATTATTCTATATATCCTGTTGAATACCACAATGAATTCAATTCGCTAAGTACGCTTTGTATAATCATTCAGATTTAAAATGCACACTATATCTGAATTGTTATTCCTTGACTTGGGGTATAATGATATATTATCATGAACTTATGGAAGTATTTTATCAAAAAAACAGTCATCATTCCATTTCAAGAACAAATTATTATTTCGGAAGAGGCGCAATTTTCCCAACTGTTCCATAATGTCGATTTGTTGAAAATATATTCTCCGAGACACTTTTATCTAAGTTCAAAACTTAATGAAATAAGAATGATTGAATGTCGGAGTTGTGAGATGTAGTTCGTAACTTGTTTTTTCCAGAATCTTTGACCTCAACATGTTTGAAAATAAAAATTGGAGAATTTTGTGGTTCATCTGAGAAGTACTCTGAATTCATTGATGACTTCTTCACATCTATATCGTCATCATTTCAACAATCATATGTCATTGTCTAAGATAATCACATATTCGTTAGCATGGTAGTGAGCGATGAAAACAGATCATCTAAATATCAGAAAGACAGTTCACTCAATTGAATAGAGATGTGAAATTGATGATACAATATATTGGGTATAAGGAAAAATGTACGAAAGAAGTTAAATCATAATTTGAGTAAACGGATTCGTTACATTTTGATACGTTTGGGTTAGAGCATTGCATGAAATAGCAATGACTGAAACAATAATAATTGAAAATGGATATCTAGAAATTAAAATCAAAGCAAAATTGCTATCCCAATTCAGTGTAGCATGCTACTGGGAGAGTTCATCAAGCATTCGATTTGAATTTCCAATTCAAGGCAAGATTTGAGAATTCGATTTTCTTGATCATTGTCTGGCTATTATATCGCTCAGTACGGTCTAGGATCATACGGCGTCGCTTGAAAACCTACATATCTATTATTCTTCCTATGTTGGAATCCAGTTCCTGGAGCTGTGTTGTAGTAGATAACTCTCCTGATTCCGAATGGATCAATGTATCCGAAACTTCCTGATCGTTTGCCACTAGGAGAAGACTCTTCTTCATGATACGCTCTCGGAATGTAATATCTAAATCCATCATTAGTAACGGAAACACCATCATACGTGGGGTACTGGGGATCATATCCATTCCCGATATTTTGTCCATGGTAAGGTTTACCATTTTTGTCAATAGGATAAGTTGGACCGTTACTGAATCTATAACTGTTATCAACTTGTCTAACATACGGATTATAGTCCAGAGAGTTGTGATCAACTTCTTTGTAGCCCTGGGGCAAGCTATCGTACAATCCTGAGATGTACTGCGGTTGAGGAGGTGGAAGAGTACTCTGGTAATATGGTCTCTCAGTTGAGCTCGGAATTGAGGGGAGGTACGTTTCAGTAGGTTCAGATCCGTAGTAGGGAGTTTCGGTGGGTATTGTGAACGAGTTAGGCGGAGAAGGAATATAGCTGCTTCTAGGAGTAGTGAAATTATGCGGTGGTAGTAAGAGATCATATGGAGTAGAGGTAGGAATTCGATAAGAGTTAGGAGTAATCTCTACTACATGTGGCTCACTATTTGATATCTGAGCAAATTGTGTAGTAGACAAAATTGAGTTTGGTGATACATCGACATAAGGTGTCGTTGAGACAATGGGTGCTGGAGTAGTGCTAGGAATATAGGAATGGGTAGGTGAATCAGGAATATACGCATTACTTATGACTGGTATAGTTGTGGTACTTGGAATATAAGTGGATGACAGTGAGTTGGAAACTGCTCCCTGGTAAGGCACCGTGATAACAGGCCTGGCAACATGTTCATGATTAGCTTTAACCAGAGTGCCAGCTGATGCTGGGTACTTCTTTGTTGCTTTAACTGCTTCGCCTACGTTGACATTTCTTCCTACGTAAACTTTCTTAGATTTAAGTATCCTGTAACCAGCGCTGTCTGCAATATAATCCCTTTGCCTCAGCATGCCATCAGCGTCAATCCATGCATATGTGCCGATTACAGTTCCATCTTCTAGTCGTTTTTCTTTTCTATATTGACCGCTGTCGGTTTGGTATCGAAAATATCTTTCTGCACCCTCGTCTGTTTGGATGTGGTACTGGTGTGTTGAAGGAGTATCCCATCCATTCGTGGTGCTAGTAGTAGATATCCAGTATACTACCTGAAACAAGGATAAGAAAATACTGTTGAAAAGAGCTTAAGTATCAGAACTTTCGAGTTGTGGAGAACACAAATTGAAATTTGAGGCAAGAAATGTTCCGAACAATTGATGAAATTCAGTTGATCTCCCAATGGTGTCGTTGACGATATCATTTTTGTTATCATTACATTATAAAACAACAAGAAGAGTTGATTATTCTTCAGAATCTAGGATTCGATATTCATATTCATCTATAATTGTGATCCAAAAAGTATGATATGTATTTCAGATAAATAAATATATTTCAGGATATTATAATTCGAATTCAAATAAGTCAATTATTATTCAGGAAGCTACAACTGTGTGTTACTTGTGATTCGGAAACTACCAAAGACTTGAGTGATATTTTATATTCATCTATCAATATATTTTGATCATTATCGTTCTGTGAATCTGAGAAATGGACATATCTTCACTATGAACGCACTTCCATTCAATTCTGATTGAAATGATAGCCATGACGATTACAGCATATGTCAAGTCGTTATTGATAAATGCATACTAGATTCGATCCCCATGTCTGGGAATATCGCATTAGAACAGTGAATTCGAGTTGATTATAACAGAGGTGGCTCTGTCATTATTAACTAGTGGTTCATAATATGACGAAAACTGCCTTGGTAGTAATAACACACGTTACGCTTCGAAAAGGATTAAATAATGGTAAGTTTAATGGCTAGTGGTGGAAGAAAGATAGTTCTTGCAAACTAGAGTCTTGCATACCATTGTGAAATTACCGCATAATTTCGATTCCAAATATTTTGCTGAATCTCCAAATCTGACAGATGGAGATAAGGTAATCTGAGAGATAAAAAATTAGGTAACCTGTCAATGTATCAATTCAATTCTGAGACAAAATGATTCTGCTTCAAATTTTCAGAGGAACTTTCCTGTATACGGTGAAAACAATTGGTAATTTTGTCCCTGATCAAAGGAACTGAGGAATATAATCTGGAGAAGGTAGCAATTCCTTTTGGAAACGATGTCTGTATTTATAATCATGCGGAAAATCATTTCTCATTTCGATAATGACTACAAGAATGTGGAAGCGAAGGAACACGCAGATATTGTAGAATTAACAACATATTCGAATTCCTTGGTAAGGCAGATTGAAGTTATAATGACGAATGCGCTTGCAATGAGATTTTGAACGACATCCTAAGACACTTGAATGAGACCTATTGTGAAAATAACACCCTGTCTCCAGAAGGGATTGATAGGTAGTGGATGCTGTCAGAGTATTTATGTCAGTTCACTCTGAATTTTGTAACACTGTTCAATTTGTTATATTGGATTATAATTATATGCAATATGTCCTATATTCTCATTATTCGACGACTCAGTCACAACAAGTTGGCGACGAGGATATAAGATTCCGATAATATCAGCCGCATTCAGTGAATTCAACAGCCGCTCTGTACCCAGCTTCCAGTAAGTTTTACGTTCACTCAACCTGCTTTCTGTGAAGATATATCAAGTGAATTCTGAACATACATCTGAAATCATGGATGTGGATCAATTCCAAAAGTTCATGTCTGTACTCTCAGCCGCTCTGGGGAGGAATCAACAAACCTCACCTTCTCAAATATCCTCTTTTGAAGATTATGATTCAAAGAATGAGAGATTTGCTTCATATCTGGAACGATTTGACAATTACTGTAATCTCAAAAATATCAATGAGAGTACAAAAAAGTCTCAGCTTTTATGCGCATCCATTGAGTCTGTGCATCATAACAATCTGGCCGCATTGCTAGGTCCTGACAAGCCTATAAAGGATATTACTTTTGACATTTTGGTTGGTCATTCCAAGGAGATGTTGGCACCTCCAGTTTCAACGATTGTCTCGCAGCATTATTTTCTCAATGTGAGTTCAAGCAAGAATACATCAGGGAAATCGAGATATTTGGCAATTTGGCATCGTCAGACATAAGCTTGGAAAATTGCATTACATCATCGATTTGGACACAGGACGTAGTTTGAAGCGCCAAATCAACCAATTAATTGCAACATTGGTTCAGAAGAAACGGGTCACGTTTGCACCTTCACAAGATCCACCTTGAATACGAGGAATCCCGTATACGGCAGATGCTGATGTACCTTCAGTTGATTCACAGCCATTGTCACAACGAAGGGAACCAATGGATGACAATTTTCCAGATGAAAATATCTGCCAGCCAGCATCGCCAGGTGAGATCGGCCGTCAGCAGGCACCACCAGGTGAAAACACCTGCCAGCAGGCAATATCAGGTGGTAGTACAACCCAGCAGACGTTACCAGATCGACGCAGATCTACTAGGCATTGTGGTTTCCCAGGATACCTGAAAGACTATGTTCCCAAGTGAAAAAAAAAAAATTAAATGAGTTCTTCTGCCAAATTATTTTTTCCAATTAAGTGGGGGAGAATATTGTGAAAATAACACCCTGTCTCCAGAAGGGATTGATAGTTAGTGGATGCTGTCAGAGTATTTATGTCAGTTCACTCTGAATTTTGTAACACTGTTCAATTTGTTGTATTGGATTATAATTATACGCAATATGTCCTATATTCTCATTATTCGACGACTCAGTCACAACAAGACCCATCAAGAAAATATTAGTTCCGAAATTGGCTGCAGTTGGATATCCTATTTGTCCAAATCAAATTTCGACATCCACTAATAGAACCACAGGGTAGGGCCATAGGCTAGAACGGTTAACGTATCTTTGCCTCAATACTGCCATCGAACATCAACTTTCAGACAAGTTGATGTTAGATGATACTGCTGACAACAGGATTACCAAGTTCAATCTGGTCAACTGCTGCATAATTTGTAGAGAATGTTCTTCAGGAACTGATTCTATGATTTTTTTCATTAAAAATACAGTGTCCTGCAATTGAAGTGGGACACCTGAAAATTTCACACAGATTCGAAAGATTATACTTTCAGAAGAATTAATTGATTCACTAAGTTCGATTCCCAGATTCCAGAAGCTCACTTAATTTTCTTCGTGATCTTGGATTCGAAGATATATCACAGGGCAATGAATAGGACACTGCAAACTTGCATCAAATTCGAAGTGATTCCATTCCGTTCAAAAATTTCCCAGAATTGTTTTTTATTCCCATTGATTGATCACGCTATACTGTTAATACGATTTTTTTGTATGATGATTTTTTGTATGATAAAATATTGTGTTCCATTTCTGAAGCTCTTCACAAGAATAGTTTCACGATTATGTGACCCACTCGAGACTGATTCACCTATCAATACAGAGTGATTTCCAAAGTCCTATACAGAATCCAATTTGTATTTGTGAATGAACATGGCAACGTATACCATGTTGTGAGGCTTTGATCGTATAGCAATCGTTTGAATGATCGCAGAGATGATTTCTTGCTCCATAATCCTGGAGAGAGATGCGATGTCTTGAAACGATTCAGATTTGCTTGCAATCAGGTGGATGTAGTTACCAGTTGACATATTTTTTTGATGATATATGTGTAAGCGAGAGTTGGGAATGATTTGTCTTCTCGTTCTGGAAATACATCCTGATAAATCAATTTTTGAAATATCTCGAATTCCAGTTGTATCTTATCAGTTTATTTTTTGTTTCGTAGGATATCATTATACTTTTTTTTGTTTTCATTTGATGGTATCAAAATAGATCCATTCCTCAAGAAAATGTCCTAGAGTTTTGAAATTCATGTACAGCCTGGCCATTCTAGCTTGGCTTCTGAGAAATGAATGCGCAGTATACCAGTCGACGAAGTGGAGCGAGAGCTCATTATTTTCGAGGAATTTGTTCAGTATGGTTCAATGAACATCGGTTAGAACTGTACAGTGCCTAGTGCGATATTGTACTTCCCAATAAAAAGGCGTCGTGGATCTTTGTCGCAAACTAACCATATCTGTTCATCGTTTGCGCATCTTAGGGTTCAAGCTGGAATGGTCGAGCTGTAATGCTTTGAAAGTGTCAATGAATATTTTGTGACAATTTCTTTCGTCGATGATAATGCGCGACGGAGTGTTAGAAGCAAACAATATCGAGATAATGAATTTTCATATTATGTGTCCAATCCTTGTCGCCTTACCTATATGAATCCTACTGAGCAATGTATAAAATCGAATTGAATTGAGACTTAAAATGAGATAGGGTATGCGAGAACATAATTCGAATTTCCTTCGTGTGATCCAGTTGAGAGTTGAAAAAGTGGGATTCACATGTGGCAACGAAAATTGGAAATTCATTCTCTTCTCTAGTAGGATTTTGTGTGTTCAATCGACCAGTACCAGGAATAATAAAAATATCTTATACTTCCCATGTTCCATGAATTATATTGTGAAGTTTATGTGTACAATACAGATCTGTGTTTACTGGGTTGTATATTGAAAACGGATGTCGTTACGACATTTTGTCCTTATGGGAAACCCAACTTATTTGCAGTGTTCTGTCTTTCCTAGCAAAGGGGTCAGATTTTCTTCAAACTCCATGTATAATATCCTAAGGGAGTTATGACGTGGTTATGACCCTCTGCATTGATAGAGTAACTATGACTATGTTAGCTCATAATATCTTGGTCAGAAATAAATGAATGTTTGTATTCATTATTCATTGGTCGTAGAAAAAAATAGTGTATTCAACGATCAAGTGATACCTATCTATACAAACATGATCATTGCATGAAATACTATTTATTTAGTAGAGTTGAGTGATTGCAGCCATAGGATTTCGATATTCTCGCCTTATCCAACGGTAAAATGCTGACATGTGCAATCTTGGCCTTTCTGAGAGGTTAGGATATTTTGTTTGATGTTGAGGTATTTTCCACACATTGTTAAAATAGGCGACAGGGTGCCCATTTATGTAAAACGACGTCTAAGTATAGGATATGCTGATGAATTCTGATTGCTCGAATTAAAATGAAAACAAATATTGTTTATATAGATGTAAGTGACATTTCTTTATTCAAATATTCAGAAAGTATATATGATATAATCATTCATGATAAAACAATAACATGAATTGAAACATCCAGAATATTATGGATTTATTATTTATTTCAAACTAACATCATTCCTACAAAACACGTTTGACAAATCTGAACTTGAGAGATTTGGTTGGTGAAGCTAACAACTCGTTGGAACTTTTGATATCCCCATAATTATACTCAATTTTGAATTGCCTACACACTTTGAAGATCAACATTCCTATCTCTGTTTCTGCTAGATCCTTTGCCAAACAAGCTCTAGGACCATAACCGAATGGCATGGAAGCAAACGCTTGATACTCGTTTCCAAAACCACCATGTTCATCACTAAACCAACGTTCAGGCTTGAACCAGCTGGAATCTTCAAAATATTCATTGCCCATTTTGTTCAAGTGGGATGCGAATAGAATGTGGGTGCCTTTTGGTATACGATAATGATGAATGGTGATGTCGTTCGATAAAACTCTGCTCAAGATTGGTATGGGAGGATCCAGCCTCAAGCTTTCTTTGATACAAGCCTGGAGATATTTCATTTTCTTCAAGTCGTCCCGTCCTATATTTTCGGGATACTTCCTCACTTCCTCATGTATCTTGATCTGACATCGTGGATTTCTTGAGAGATGGTATAATAAGAAAGCAGCAGTATGAGCTGTAGCATTAGCACCAATCAAATACATATCCAGCAGTATTGTCATCACATCTTCCTTTATAATACCGTCATGCAAAAATAGGCTCTCTAAGAATGAGACTTTTTCTAAAGAGCCACCTTTATCTTGCTTGTATTTTAAAGAGGTGATTGCTTCCTCAACGTGCTTGCTCAGGACTGTGTCGATTTTGTCGCAGTTCTTCACGAGAACTTTCCAAGCTGGAGTTTCAACGAATTTCCACAAGTGGAATCCATATTCGCACCGTCTAATCGCCTCAGTAGCTCCTAATAAGCCATCAAGTAGTTTGGAAGAATCGGAAGTTGGGCTTAGACAATGAGGATTCAAAAATCCCAAATCCTTGTTCAAACAAGCTGCTGAAAGGCATTCTAGAGACCACTTGCATATTTCGACTTTGAAATCAGGTGGCATTTCTTCTTGTTTGTTCCGTAAAATTGTTATTCTTTCTACAAAACTTTCACATATCTTCCGGATTTTTCCATGCTGTTCGGCAACCGTAGTTTGCAAAGGTTGTTCCAGAGACTTGCGTACTTTCTCCCATTCTGAACCATGAGTTAGAAATGGCCCTGGTTGCGTATATTTCCTACACTCCACCCTATATTTCTCGATTGAATCTAAGCAAGATCTTATGGGATATTTACCTTCACTCTCAAAAATCGCACATGCATCTTCTGGTTTCTTGAGAAGGACCACATCACTACCGAATGCACCATGAAGCCTGACAACTGGTCCATAGATATCGAAGAATTTCTTGAAGAATGAAGCATTTCCACCCCAACTCAAAACGCCTCCAAAGAATTTTCCACCACTGAGAAAATACTGAATGATGCTCACTGTTAGTTCGGTTCCCATAACAGGTATCATACCCCAAAATTTTGAAATCATACGAAGGCTTTTTGGCCCAGGAATATCATCGAATGACAGAAATTGTTCATTCAGAGTCTTCTTGGGTACGACTGATAAGTATGGACTGGTTTGGATAGGTTCCGGTGATGTAGATCCTGATTTGACGACTTGCTCGGTTTCTATTTTTTGAACTTGTGATATTGCTGCGACGGACGATTTTAAAAACTTCCTATTAATGTTATTCACGAAACATTGTCTCAGAAACTGATTTCTCAGAGTACTTCGCCACATTTTCAACAACAGTTCGTCTAATTATTCAACGAAATATTCAGTATGACAGTTCACTCCAATATAATTTTGAAGTAAATGTCATTCGTGTGAATTTTGTGAACTTAGCACACTTTTAACAGAGCTCTCAGCAGGAATGATATGAAACTGATGAAAAAAATATACAGTGCTTTCGTCGGGTACTGAAATAATTTATTTCTTGCCAATCGATGAGAATTGTCCTGAAACAGGTCAATTTTTGATGTCAATTTTCTCAACATTTGAGATGGAAAATTCAATATACGAGATGATCTACGTATGATTAATGATGTCCGCGACAATTTTGACGAATGGAACAAACTATACAGAGTCAGATTGAGACCGACAAACTTCGTAGATGTATTCCTATAACCCCATTTCCGAGTAAAAAGTCACTATCAACGTATATGTTCAAGCCATCAATTTCAACTTCAATTCAAGTATTTTTTCAAATTCAATCAATACGTACAGGAGCTTCTCATTGAGATTCCAAACACAATTATCGGATATTGATGTGGAAAATTGAATACAGAAAGCGATGTGTCTCAGGAGATACCTCAGAAATGGCGGAAAATAATCTCATATCTTATTCACTACCTATACTTCGAGAGCACCAAATTTAACGAACGCACTGTACATAAATCCGATGTGTGATGTATTCTTGAATCTACCATTCCATGGAGATTCCAAATATTGAATAGTATATAGGGTATTCTATTCGAAAAATTTGTCGCGAACGTCATAACTCAAGCATGGATCACCCTGTAATTTTAATTATTTCTTGTAACCCTGTACTGGTAATTCGATATATTCCTCCGAAGATGTGATAGGGAAAGTGATAGGGAGCGAATTCAACCTCACTATGAATTATGCAAGAGTTAATAGTTTCTGAAATATTTGAATTTTTCTGTTTATCTCCAAAAGGTGTAGACTTCAAGGGTTCGAAGGTCAATTTCTCGAGAATCTGCTGTGCATTTTTTCAACCTTTCAACTAGAATACATGATTAACACTACTTATAGTCTAATGCTTGGGATTGAAAAATTCCAGAAATAATTCAGATCATGGATAAATTGTTGACTACATAGTCGTATTTTTCTTTGTAAATAATGGATCTTATCACTTTCTGGCGATTACTTTTGGAGAAATCTCTGAATCACATTTGTCAAGATTCTGGTAGAACTTAGCCTAACTATTTTAAATGAATAGTTAACCTCTCAACGGCTCATGTTCCTTATCAGGAACGCTGAAAGAAAAGGCCTATGAATGTTTTCACATTTGGAATCTCCTAGATTTTTTCAATAGACCACTTTCCTAATCTGGGACAATAAAGTCTTTGCTCAAAACTGATATATGGCGCCATCTATGTACTCTTATCAGAGAAAGAAACAGCAGCTTTATCAATATCGTCATTCAACAAGTGAGGTGTTTCTGCAAGCGTTTTCTTTTATTCAGCTGAATATACTGAATGAGTTCCTTTTTTTACTTTGTGAACCAAATATTCCCCAATGTTCCAAAGCGGGAACAGTGGTCAATGGTTAGAATTTTTCACCGTTCCTAATGTGGTACAAGGGGCATTTAGCGTACAGGGTGATTTACCATAAATGTCCCCCCCCCCAGCGATTGAAAAATTTGAAGAATCAGAATCAGAAAATACAGAGTGCTTGGAACAAACGACCTACAGAGTACTACTTGATTTTTCCAAATAGAACACCCTGTATTTTATTGTATTTCAAGATTCTTCCTGGATAGCTGATTCCATCAATACATCACACTCTGGGTCTGTATGAAATGATTACAGAGATATAGGGTGTTCAAAATCGAGATTTTTCAACTTTAGTACTTTTTTGTGTCGAAACTATTCATTATTTGTCAAAACGGCTCCTATGTCCCTATCTCAACTTTTGAATTACTACGTACTGACATTTGATAGGAACATATACAGGGTGGTTCAAGATTCATCATTCTGATCACCCTGTATCTGTTTCAATTATTAAATTTCAGTAGATAGTGAATCAGAAGTTAAGATACGGACATGGAAGCCGGTTTGACCGATAATCGAATAGTTTCGTCACAGAAAAATCCTAAAGTTGAAAAATCTCGATTTTGAACACCCTATATCTCTGTAATCATTTTCGCTAGACCCCAACTGTGATGCATTGATGAAATCAGCTCTTCAGGAAGAATCTAAAGATGCAATGAAAAATAGGGTGTTCCATCTAAAAAAATCAAATACCTAGTACCCTGTGGATCGTTTGTTCCGAGCACCTTGTATTTTCTGATGTAGCGAAAAAAGGCTCTATCGAAAATCATTCCAGATGATATTCAAAATTTTGCAATCGGTTCAAAAATAACTGACATTCATGGTGAATCACCCTGTACAATGCAACTTTGATGAAAAATTTGTTTGAGTCAAAAACGGCTTCTCTACCAAGCTATATCGATAGACATCGTCTGTAATGGAGTAGTATATATACTTAAACTGGAAATGTTCTTCAGAAATAAGCATATCTTCTCGTCGTCAATCTCGAAATATGTCGAACTACTGTCTACCAAATCTCGTTTCTTCATAGAACGGCAAAGCTTTGGAATTATATGTCGAAGGAAATATTTCCATCAAGAACTTATAATCTCTAATTGTTCGAAAAAAGTCCAAAACCTACCTCCCTCCCTATGGTACACACGATGTTTCTCGAACATGATAGCAGGGATTCCCTTTCGGGCGCTCCAAGGGATAAAAAAAATAGACACAAACTAGTATCAGAATCAGTGTGTAGAAAAGGGTGGATGAAATGGGGAGGAACTTTCTGGACCCGAGTTCCAGAACAGAAACAATAAGTTTTTATTTTGATGTGAGAAGAAAATAAACAATTTCAATTTAGGTGTTTCAACTATCATTCTAACCTTATTTCTCCACAAACAATTTTTCCACCTATGTCTTTCTTAATTTGGACCCTAAGAGGTTAAAACATACTTGAAAAATTCCTATCAGTATTTGCTTTTTACGAATCTTGTTCAAAGTGAGACCTCTATTACGAATACATGCTCGGTAAATAACTGTCAATGACTCTCATTCACACAATAACACGAAACTCAAGTTGAAAAATAGTTTCCCTTGTTAAACGGGGGTTTTCTTCGGTCAAATGATTGAGGTTATGAAAATGTGCTATGCTATGCCTCGAGCAAAGAGACGAAAATAAGGAAACTACCTCGGAAACAACTGTATCGCCAAAAATAAATACTGTTGATAGCTCAAATATGTTTTTTACCATTACCAATATGACAATTCAGTTTCATTCGAACCCAGTTAGATGGCTATCACCTGATGGAAGTTTTAAGAAATTTCTGACAAATGTAGCTTTCAGAAATTTTCCTAAACATAACCGCTAGAATTTTGTGAAAATCCACAATTCACGAACGAAAATACGACTTCGTATTTTACGATATATCTATGATCTGAATTATTGCTGGAATTTTTTCAATTCCGAACATTAGACCATGAGTGTTGATCATGTATTTAAGTTGGATGGTTGAGAAAATGTAGAGAAGATTTTCTGGACACTAACATTTAAACACATCTCCGAAAGAATGTATTACCAGGAACCCTGTATATGTGGAACATTGATAATCAAAATTGACCTGCTCCAGCAGTGGTCTTCAAAACATATAGCATTTTCTAAAAAATGAATGTTTTCCAAAATTTTGCACTTAATCCTGTTCTCAACTTTCAGATTTTCGATGTCTCGATGTGATATTTCTAAAACATAAAAAAATTATTCGCAAGAATAATGATCTTGTTTGATGTGGAAGACGCGAGATTCGTTTACGAAACATTCAGAGATAGCAAGTGACAATTCGTTATTTTCGATATTCTTCTTCGAATATTTTCCGGAATAATATGATCAGTTGTGTTTTATCTACCCAAGATGTTCTCAGTGTTGCGACGTTGCCGCTTATATTGAAAAGTAGCAACAACTTTGATTTTTTAAATAAGACACACTGTTTATTATTTGATTTCCAGATCTTTTTTTGAGAAGCTTATTCCATCCACCTATCACACTTGGGGTCTAGCGGAAATGATAACAAAGTTATATTGTGTGAAAAATCGAGATTTTTCAACTTAAAAATTTTTTGTGTCGAAAATATTCATCATTGGTCAAAACGGTTTCCATTTTTCCATTGAATTGAATTGAATGTTGGGATTAGGACATAAGAACATCCTGAAGTTGCAAAATCTTGATTTTTCACATTCACATATTCATTACTGCTTGAACCCAATTGTTATAGGCCAATAGGATCAGCTCTTCAGGAAGAATCTGAAAATGAAATAATATACAGGGTCCCATTTGAATCGAAGTTGTTGCTACTTTTCAATATAAGCAACAACGTCGCAACATAGAGAATATTTTTAGGTCGATAGAACACAACCAATTATCCAAGGCACCAACTTTTCAGGAGAATCCTGTGTTGCGTTCTCCAGAAACGTCTAATGTGCCATCCACCGTGAATAAGCCTTTATACAGGGTGTCCCTGAAAGGTCTGTAGAAATACTTCCGAAATAACATTGTTTCCAAATTGATTAAAAAAATAATTCATACTCAAATTCTTTCAGCAAAACTTACTGTAACTAGCCCAAATGAAGAATTCCTTCCTGCTGACAATCAACTGATAGGTAAAATTCTTAAGATACGCAAAATGTTAACATTTGCATAGTCTGATCTTGCAAAAAATATTCCTAAACCTGTTCACCGAACAGGATACAAATACGAGGATTTTTGAATGTGATACTTACGTCCACTCCAAAACTGTATTTTGAAAAAGAAATCTGAACTACTCATTCACCGACTAAATTACATCTACGAAGATAACAGTAAATTTTTTTTCCAAATAATTTGAATATTCCGATGCGTCATCGAACATTGAAAACCGGAATATCTCGAAAATGTCTTACATCAACGGATTTCCACAAGAGTATCTTTTTTGCTTGACAGCGTACATAAAATTATTTCCGCAACAGAGAAAGTTAAAAACTACACTGAGAAATATTCATGACCATTCTTAACCATAAGAAGTGCATTAGTATAGGCACCCTCTAATGGCCACAGTGAAAAGATGTGGATATTCGGGTTTCGCATCTCAAAAAACCCCAGAATGTCAATTTTCAAAGTTATCCGTGGAAAAACGTCCATGAACTTCAGAAAAGCTGAATTTTATTTCTCAACTTTATCACACTGTATCTCGGAAACGGAGCGATTTCGGACTGAGGTGAGTTGCTTCAAATCGGCTTATTATGACCTCAGGAATATATGCTAGGAGTTTGTACAGACCTTTCAGGGACACCCTGTATAAAGAAATACATTTTTATAATTATATCTTAGAATATTCCTCTCAATACTCTCACCTAATCAAGGAGATCAAACTTGAACGATGAAAACTTGTTATTTATATACACCTTCAATCGCTGAGTCGTGATTGAGTTTTCCCAATTCAGAATTTCTCTCAACGTCATGTATGATGAATATCAATTCATTATACATTCAAAAACATTGATAAGATGTCATCTCAGTCCTGAATAAGAAACGAAATCTGGAGAACTTCGCTGGTCTCATAATCGGTCTCACCATGTTCATGATCTGTGATAATAATACAACAGAAAACACCATATACGTATTAATAAACAATACGGATCATAACGGGTGCCAGGATGAAGCCAAAAATATGAAACAAATGAATATCCATAAGGATTTGGTGACATAATTCGCATGCGCCATGCGCTATTATAGTAGTCATCAAAGACATGCGTTTCGGTGGACAATGACGTTTACTAGCCTTTCAATCAAAGCAGTATGTGTCTGATCGTTTCAAAACTTTTCCTTATGGATAGTCATTTGTCATCAAGAATCGGCTTCATGTTTCGCTATGGAAACAGATAGAGATTATCCGTATTGATTATTAATACGTATATGGAAAACACTCGATGTCAAATAATTATTTGTTGTCATTTTTGAAAGACATGAGATACTTTCTGTCAAACATTGACATAATCATCAAGTCAAATAATGTGCAGTCGACTGATTATTCAAACAAGCAAAAATAGTTCCTTGAAATGTTTGGAACGTTTAATATCGAATCATCATCAAGTCAGATCAAAATCTGTGTCAGTAGCATCCGACTCAAAAATAGAAGAAGTGTCTGAAGCCAAAGAGACAGCACCACCTCCTGAAGTCGATGTCAATAAGTATATACACTCCAACTTGATGCTAGAGAAAAATGAAACGAAGCCTCAAGAATCTTCCTTATCCTTTGATGCTATTCCTGGACCAAGGAGCTTATTCCTAATATCCAAATTCTGGAACTCCATACCAAAACTGGATTCTAACAGAGTGATCGTCAGTTTCATCCAGAATTTCCTGAGCGGAGCGAATTTTTTTCACAACATATTGTGCTGGGGAGGTAACAAACAGTTTTTCAACAAATTTTTCAGAGTTTATGGTCCAGTCGTGCGACTTCATGGTGCTTTTCATTCAGATGTTGTTCTCTTGAGCAGACCAGAACATGCTTGTAACATTTTTCAACATTCAAATCCATATCCCATCAGGAGCTGTTTGGAGTGCATCGAGAAATATCGATTAGACCATAAGAATTATGAGCAGGCAGGACTATTCTTCACATGTGGTACTGATTGGAAAATTTTGAGAGATACCGTAAGCCAACCGTTGCTAAATGGTGCTGACATGTACTACCAAAGAATCAATGATATTTGCAATTTGTTTGTACAAAGAGTTATCACGAATAGAAATAAACTCGAAGAAGTAGGAGACAATTTCGATACCGAATTATACAGATGGTATTTAGAAAGTCTCTTCATGATAACCTTGAGAACAAGAACCGGATTCTTGGACAATCCCCAGAAGAAGGAAACAGATGCAACAGCATTCCTTAGTGCACTTGAAGCTACACTCAGAACTATTGGGAAATGCGAATACGGTTTCCATATATGGAAATTTGTAGAAACCACATCTTGGAAAGTTTTGGTAAAGAATTGTGATGCCATGGATACCATACTCAATGAATATGTGGATAGGGCTGTTCAATCAATGCAAGACAAGAAAGACCAAGATGCTGCACCATTCTTGCAGGCTCTGATTGCGAATCAAAAAATCTCCAGGAGCGATATCATAACCATTCTCATGGATATGGTTCTGATTGGTACTGCTACAACAACACATACCATTGCTCTTCTGTTATTTCATCTTTCTAAGAATACAAGATGTCAGAAGAAGTTACGAGAAGAGATAGGGAGATTTAAAGATAATGTGAGCAGCAGTGATATAGAACAGATGAGCTATCTTCATGCTTGCATAAAAGAAGTTCTTAGGATCAGTCCTCCGGTACCGATTCTCAGCAGGGTTTTGACTTCTGATGTTAAAATCATGGATTATATGATACCAAAGGACACCAGGATACTTTTTGCAAGTCACTTGAATAGCCATCGCGATGAACATTTTGAAGAAGCCAATAAATTCAAACCAGAGCGTTGGATGAGCAGTAATGCTGATGAATACAATATTTTCGCTACTATGCCATTTGGACATGGACCCAAGTCATGTTTGGCGAAAGAGTTTGCAGAAAATCAGATAGCTGTACTCATCTTCAAGATTTGCAGAAAATTTCATATTGAATATGATTATGGCGATATACAAAGTTCACATGAATTATTGGCCTCCCCTACTAAACCACTAAAATTCAGATTCATTGATTTATAATTATATTTATATTGAATTCAATTTCTGTTAGAATATCACAGTTGAATATTGAAGTTTGATCGATATCCTATATGTATTCAATAAATTATCCTTCAAGTTACGTGGTTACAATTTGAATACTCACTGAGATGGCTACAGTCCTCGTAGCCATCCTAAGACTTAACCTATACCATTACCCGTTCGAGCAGAAATTTCGAAAAAGCTTGTTTCAGTGATAGACACGTCATGATGGCGTTTGAATTCTTTCTCCACAATCCATTTGAATCAACTATTCAATGAAGAAGTTTATGTTGAATAATTGAGGGTGGTTTTAATGTAGCCATGTTGAAGAGATTCAGTTATCATATGAAAATCATAATATGCCTAACCTATTTGTAAATCAATAATATTATGCCTCGAGTTGTTTTCGATTTGCACAATAATACTCCAGGGACATCCTGTATAACAGTCACGAAATCTCGGCCACACCTTTCAGATTCGTAAGATTCAGAGATCACTTTCACTCTCGTTTCATTCTCCATTCATTCGACCATCGAAAATGTTTTCATATAAGTAGGAATATAGTAGCTTACATTGAAAACGAATAATAATCTGTGCATGAATATATTTATACTATAGATACAAGGTGTTCGATAATTCAGTATCAAATTTGAGCAAACCATTTCTCGGTCAGAATGAGACTTTTTTTTCATATACCGATTTACAGATCGTTGATATTCATTATTTTTATTTCCCAGCGCCTTTTATGAGGAGTCAAGGTTCTTTAAGTTTCTTTTTTCTTCAGGTAATGATAATAGAATGATATTAATAATGATAACAATGATAATGATAATATTGATAATAATGATAATATTTTCAATCATGATTCAGAAAATTCCATGTCGAGGAAGGGGAAAAATTTTTAGCTGGTGAAATGCAGAAGGCCGTCATACTCGGGACGTTGCATCTGTCCAGGTCACGTTTCACTAGCGTTTATCATAAAATGATAATCATCGCTGTGGGGAAACGCTACATGGTGGTACCACGAGTACTTATCAACCCAACGAATATCCTTAATTGGCGCAGAATCATGTCTACAGAAAATGTCCAGGCCGATCCTAAAAAAACATCATTGAAATAGCGAATCCCTACCGGCCTCAACATTAAATGCTTCAAACACATTGCTTGTTTCAGGAAGGAAGGAAAATATACCTTCTGGATAAGGAGACTAGATATTCAGAACGAACTAACCTCACTCGACCCAAATGAACCTCCTTTTTAAAAATAATAGTTTTCAATGCCGTCGCAGGCATTGATACCGGGTCGCGCCGGCGTGGAGCTCTAATGCTCATGCAATTGAGGCACGCACGTAACTGAAGATTGGTGTATGATAGTCAAATCGTATAATACTCGAATGATTGTCACTGTAGTCGCGCTTTCGCACACCCACTAAAATGATTATTTTTTCCTCCTGTCCAGCTCGACTCTGCGTGGTGTAGAAGACCGCTGAGTCTTGACTGAAATGACTATGAATTCAATATTTCTCAATAATGATGATGATATTGATAATGATAATAATTGAAAAATATTCACTTGAAAGGCGAGGAGGAGGGTTGGCGAGAGCTCTCTAGCTTATTTCAACCGCCTTCAAGTGTTGTTGACAATCCACCGACTGCCGATCAGGAGGAAAACTTTTGGTAGGGCATCTAAGAGGTGAGGCATCCATTCAACAGATATACTCCAGCCCTGGCGCAGTTCGGTGCTTTCTGCGAAAGATACCGAGAGTCTGAGCCCCAGTTAATGCGCCAACCGATAACTACTGTGAAGGTTCGAGAAGCTCTAAGAACTTTTTCGCTCCTGGTCCCGATGGGACTGGTGGAGAAAGTAACCCTCTACTCACCATCATTTGGCCATGAATTTTAATAGCTTCAATAGCCCGACTCTATAGTGGGATGCATAAAATAACTGATGCTCGTCTGGAAGACCCGCTGTACCATAACAGCAGGTGATGCGAGAGTCCGAACAGAGTCAGTCATCATAAGGAGAAGAGTATTCCAAGAGGCCTTCCTTATCCCTCTCTCATTCTGCATCTAACTGCTGCCACTATGCGTTGAGCACAAAAAAACAAAGGATACAACTGCGGGCCAACCAGTTACCGGTGACATGTAGTAACCCACTTATTCTATGTGGATGACCTCAAACTTTAGGCCTCTGATGAAAAGAATATGGAGCAATCTCTCTGGGTGGTGCAGGAGTTCACGCTGGCGATTGGAATGGAATTTGGAATGGACAAATTAATGTGTACTCGTTCATCTGAAGAGGACTATGGCAAGGACGCGTTGCTCGTGGACGACGGAATCCTACATTACTTGGATGCCAGAACTGGTGAAAGACGAAACATTTTTTCAAATCTACAATTCCTCACCAATAGCTTGAAGCAGATTATTTACTTACAGGTATGCAAAGATGAGTGATAAATTTGAATGAATTATCCTGAACGAAATACAACACTTCCCTGCTTTGGTATATATACACGTGCACACAGCGAAGCAACCCTCACTCATATGAAAGTGAAGCTGTCGTCCCAGGCAGAAATGGTCTATCAGTATTTTTGCTGTAGCTGTCTTGACGAAAGACTACTGGAGGCTTTGATAATTCGTCCAACTCCAGTCAACTTCCAGTTGGTGAAGTAGGATCCATCACCACATTCAGGTTTTGATAGACATGAGGGTTCATTTCGATCTTTATTTCATATTGCTCATGATATCTCAGATAGATCAAAGGATGTGAAGAATTGCTGTAATATATTATAGCGCCTTATCTTGAATTTTCACCCCAATTAATAATTTTCACTAAACCCATTGTGCCACGCGCTGGCGGAATAATCACATATTCAAATTTGTTTCTTGAACAAGCTATGACTATGAATATCATTTAGCAAATATTTCAGGATCATCTCTACAATTGCACACTTTGAAATTTGTCTTATAAAATATGGATCTACCTCTGTTGAATTGAGTTCTACATTCTCCGAGTGGATTATTCAATAGTGTATATAAGTGAAATTTGTTTTTCGTTCATTCATCAATCTGAACTTTGACACTTGAACTCATAACATCTCCTGAGGTATGTTGAGTTAGAGCATGATATTATCTGGGTAAGTTTTTGTTTGGTTGCCGTATTTTCCAGACAGTTTCGAATTCTTTCATTCAACAATTTAAGAACAATTCCATTGAAGAAGTGGCGCCCTCAGTCTCTTCTTCGATCACTGATGATACATTTTACATGAAGAAATTAACCTTTGACCGCCTACCCATGAGAAGCTGCCGTTTGCACAAATCCTATCGTGTGATAGGGTTACAATACAATACCTAGAGACCAGGGGTGCCGTGGACTCTAGAAGTTGGAATATCTCCATAACAGAATGGTTCTGAACGGCGCCTGCAGAGTTATCAGCGGTTGGGATTTCCTCATGCAAATGGTCGAAACCTATGAAGAGGCAAGGGTAGGAAATTTTTCTTCTAGGGCAGCACATCTCTGATTTTCAACTCTGAGTGCGAGGCTCAGGATTCACTAACTGAGCTAGAGCTCGCCCGCTCAAAGCTGCAGAAGTGAGGAAGCTCCAGTAACTTCACATGGATAAGCCCATGCATTCGGTCTACCTCCAGACCATGGAAGGCTTACCCAAAGAACTGACTTTTTTTCCTCAAGTCAGGCGGGCTTAAATCGCAAACAGAGGGCTTTTTCACGGCATGCCAGGATGGAGTCTTCATTACTCTCGTCTATTGTAGCCAAGTCATGGGTATAGAGCTCTCTGATACGAATTTCAGGGCATGCCGCAGAGTCATGCACCTACTGTCGTCTTGTCGGTGTATGCAGTCTCGGCCTATATCCATAGATACTGTAGCGAAATACCCTGTATATCGCTGATTCATATCCATTTCCAGTGGTTATCAGAAAAATAGTATATTAAACACCGAGGTGGGAAGTGATTCATTCCTGTCGTGAGATTAGTTAGTTAACCGGAGTTGTAATTGAAAGCCTTCCAAATAGTTTCATGATATTTGATAATATTATTCTGACACATCTATCAAGTGTCTATTTCAACAACCCTAACCATAACAACCAGCATTTCATGTGTGACTATTTGAACAATATAGGAATGCCTAATTGATCATTCCAGAATTACGTCATTTGACAGGTTGCTGAGGGGCAAACATTGTATTTTGTCAAGATTTGTCATATATAAGTGGGATCGTTTTCCTTGGAATCCGAGTTGGAACCAGAAAGAATTCCATAATTTTGTTTGGTGAAACTGTTGTATATGTGGCAGGGATGGCCAGGGCTATGCTTATCAAAGGTAACCTAACAGATAGTTTGTGTGCCCCTCAAGAAACCATGTCAAAATCACGTGTTCTAGAATGATCAATACCCCTATAAGGATCTATTCATTCCAACACGTATAATCATACATACAGGATGTATCAATATGACACATCTCCTTTTTTTATTATTTTATTTCCAAGAAGTATATCCTTCTATCTATATCTATATCCAAATAGGTTTCTGAACTAATCTACCACTTCTAGTGTATGTTGAATTATCGTTCACATTCTTGCATACCCTCAAGTCCTCTCTATTTATTTCTACATCATTCGCATTAACATAATGCTAGCTTATTTCTACCTCATGCCTAACATCACAATTCTCTTTCTTTTTTCCTTCAACATATAGATTTATATTGTTTCTATCCTGTGAATTTGGTTCATTGAATAATTTCCTAATAAACTCAGAATTCCTTCCCAGAGTGAAACCATTTTCATCCTTCACCACATTATGACCTAGGTGTATCACATTTATCAATAATACTTCCTGGTACCGATGAGAATACAATATTGGAATGGTAATATTGTTGGAATATTATTTCAACCTGAGCCAATTGTTGATTGTCAGCTACAATATTGATGCTAAATTGGTTGGATAGTTTGTATTGAATATGTGGAAAAGTTTATATATATATATATATATATATAGATTCATAAAGAGGAAAGATGAGATCATTTGTACATAAATGATTGCCAAGGTGAGA